TCATCTCCTTAAATCTGTCTAATTAAAACACCAAATCCCTCTACTCCCCCCTCACCCACACACCAACCCAATCCTCACTTCTCACTCACTACCTCACCCCTCTTCGTTGTCTCGAGACACATGCACACTCGCACCCACCATCCCCACTGCTGCCGCCCCCGATTGCACTGGAGAAATGATTATTAGGAATTTAATGGGGGAACGTTTCCCATCCCAGACCATCTGGGGCTTGGGAATGGAACAAAATTCTGAGGATGCTCGTCTACGTGGGGATGGGGGGGCACATTGTTTTCCCTTTTCTTCACTGCTGTTGTTATTTTCAGACATCGCAGGAAGATTTTCCTGAGTATAATAAATCTAATAAATGTGCGTAAAGATGGATTTGTGCTTTGTTCATCATTGTTATGAGATGCGTCTAACTGCCTTGATGTTGTAGCATAACTATATAGAAAATACATTTTCTGCAGCTCTTCTGAAGAAGTATTTGTCCCTTGTGGAATTCTTAGATAATTTTTTCATATAAAAATATTTTTTGATCTTCAAAGAAAGATAAAATCAGATTACATATAAATAGATATTTTCAGATTATATTTTTGTTATCCAAATTTAGTTAGCCCTTAACCCAAATAAAATCCCAATAATTGTATCTTAAAAAACTGAGTCAGTCCACACTCAGATCCTAATACGCCAAAGATGGTGCAATCAGGAGTTCACTTAAAGGTATAGTTGAATAATATAAGTGAATAATCAATATAAGTGGTCCTCCTAACTGTCAAGCATTCTGGTGATGATATGCCAAGAATACCTCCCCTCTTGTATAATGATGAAAAAACAGTTCGAAATATGAACAAAAAAGGAACTCAACTAAAACATGTCTCTATACAAGTAAAAATCATACTCTTTTGAATGTATTTGTCCACCAAAACTCTCAATTTTAGGGCATTGATCCATAAGAACTATGAAAATATTAAGAATATGTTTAAAAGTTCCCTTTTCATTCATATTTCAATCTGTTTTCTTATCAGTATATGAGAGATAGGAGGTAATAATTGGCAGGCAGGTACAGTATTCCACAGCATAACCTGACGGTGAGTCTGTCATAGAAAAATTGCAAATCTTCTTTTGGAAGGTAAGCTTGTATGAGCCATGCAAACAGCAACTTTTAAACAGAGTGTGCACTAGGGGGAATAGGCTTGTGAATGCTCTCTTATTGGTTAATAGGGGGGAAGTGACGGCCTAATGGTTAGGGCATAGGACTTGGAGTAGTGAGTTCGAAACCCACTCACACAGACTGCTACTCTGAGCAAGATCCTTAACTCCCGATTGCTCCCCAGGCGCTGCACAGTGGCAGCCCACTGTTTTTCCTAAAAGAACAATCAAACAAACAAACACAGTGGTGGAAATTTGATTGTCTGCAGATGCTTTGATTCTCCAATATTTGGAGACGTCGCCGTAGAACCATGAATTTTTCTCTCTTGCCAAAACTCCTAAAGGATAGTATATGGCCTAAGGTGGGCAGCCTTAAACCCATGCTCAAATGTTTTTCTTGCAGTGGAACAACCTCAATGAGGAATAACCAGGGAGTGCACAGGGAATATGAAACAAAATTAATTCCAGTATTAATAAAGGAGCAAACACTATTCTTCTTAGCACTGTATGTTTTTTGTAATTCCTTTTAATTTACGGCCAACATCCCCCATTTCCAGCCCTAACTCCCTCACAGATTATGACCATATGGTCCCATTTTCTCCTTGTTTTTCCCCCTCTCCAAGCCTAATGAGCGGCATAAGCATAGGGGTGCATGTACAAGTTTGACCTGGTGCTAAACTGCAGCTTGCCACCCTTTGAACCCTGTGGGTTTGGAGCACCTTTCTGTCTTTCACACCTTTGCACCCCTGCAAGCCTTGATCTGGAGGCTGCTCCTCCTTAAGTAAACCTTTATTCAAATGCACAAGTTGGTGTTAGTGAGTGAGCATGCAAGCCCATTTGTTCGAGAGACACTGTAAATGACCTGAAACAGTCTTGACAAGCAGGATACGTGAACAAATTAAGAAAGAAAACAAGTTTTCTTTTACATTCATATTAAAACATTGTGGAGTTGAATTGACATTTCCCGCATGATTAAAGGAGGACTTACAGCAAAACGTTTACACTGTCACTTCCCCAAAGTAGAATGTTAGGAAAATCCGGAAGAAAAACAGATTCCTTTCATTTGGAACCAGCTCCATTTTTTGTTAGTTAGCCAAAAACTACATGTATTTTAAACATAATTTTTAGATTTTTTTTATTTTTGATAATTGCTAAAGAGTAATTCTGAGTTAAATTGTGCTTGTGACTTAGGGTGCCAAATGCTATTTTCTCCTACTTTTCTTATTTTCTGCCACTATCTGCAGTTAATGGCTATTTTTTTTTTCTCTCTTCACAGAAGTTATAATTGGCCTCATGTTTAGTGGGCCTATTTACTGTTCTATACTGGAGTAATTGAGGTGTATCAAGAGAAAGGCATAAATGTATATTAAAACATAAGGTTAGACAAAAGACTGAAAGAAAATGACGAAATTTCCGCTTCTATCTCTTTGAACCCCAGTCGGACTCTGCAGATGCCTGTTCACACTGAGCTTCGTTCTGCTGAAGGTTTGTTCCTGTTAAAAGGGAGTTTTTCTTCTCCACTGTCGCAACAAGCATGCTTGGTGTGACGGATTGTGGAGAGTCATTCAGTCAATGTAATCAACTGTTTTCCCATAGATAGAAAACTTTGAATTAATTTGACTGTATGATCTGGTTTAATTGCAAAGTTCATTGAGATGACACGTGTTGTGAATTGGTGCTATATAAATAAGCTGAATTGAATTGAACAAGAATNAGTTATAATTGGCCTCATGTTTAGTGGGCCTATTTACTGTTCTATACTGGAGTAATTGAGGTGTATCAAGAGAAAGGCATAAATGTATATTAAAAGATAAGGTTAGACAAAATACTGAAATAAAATTAAGAAATGTATGCTTCTATCTCTTTGAACCCCAGTCAGATGCCTGTTCACACTGAGCTTCGTTCTGCTGAAGGTTTCTTCCTGTTAAAAGGGAGTTTTTCTTCTCCACTGTCGCAACAAGCATGCTTGGGTTGACGGATTGTGGAGAGTCATTCAGTCAATGTAATCAACTGTTTTTCCATAGATAGAAAACTTTGAATTAATTTGACTGTATGATCTGGTTGAATTGCAAAGTTCACTGAGATGACACGTGTTGTGAATTGGTGCTATATAAATAAGCTGAATTGAATTGAACAAGAATAAAAAAAAATGCATCTTAAATAAGACAATACTGAGCAGTTGTTGAAAAAATGTATTACTCAGAATAAACAAAAAATGTTCATAAGCATTCGGTAGAGCTGTTCTGTGATTAGTCTTTGTCCTGTTTTCATAGTATGGATTTCACTAGAGCATATATACATAACTGACAAAACCTGCTGACATCAGTTTTTTACGTTTTCTTTAACTTTGTAAGCTTTTTGAGTGGGATCAACCTCGATGCATTTAACTGATTTTGAATCTTTCCGTATAACCGCATTGAATTGAATCTTACAAAACAAATAGTTAATAAGGCGACCAAACAATAAAAATCTGGCACTTTAAAATTTCTCAGTCTGAATTTGTTCATCCTTCCTTTGTTTTGTTGTGTTTTAACTACCATGGTACTGTTATGACTTCTGGGAGATTTTTTTTTCTATATTTGTAACAAACTTGGATAGGAAGAATGTGATAGTTTAAAAGAAATCACAGCAAAACCATCAGTCAGGATTAGCAGGCTTCATTTTGATTATTAAAATATCAAGTTAAAAGTATTTTATTTAGAAAGAGTAGCTACTCTCTAATTTAGTGTCAATACATCACAGACAAACACATGATCACAGGTGTTAAAACCCCAAGATAAATTGGCGATTTTAGATCTGACCTCTAACCTTATTTTATTGCATTGACCATCTTAAATACTTATCTTTGGTTGAGAATCTGAACAGGAATGATAGTGTTTATATTCTTTGATATTTTTTATTCTTCCACATTACAGCCTCCACTAGCAGTACATAATGTTGCACTTGTGAAGTGCGGAAAAAATATTGAACATCTACAGACCGAAATGTTAGAGTATATATGGACACAGGGAGGCATCTCTAAAGATCAATTATGAAGCCATACCAAAGTTTCTAAATTATTTCTTGAATTTATTTTGACTGAGGCATTTTATAACACAGTCATGCTTCTTTATGAAAAAAACAAAACAAAAAAACCCCTCCAAAGTACGGTGGTTTTTTTACGTGCTGGATGGCCAGCTTGAACCACATAGTCAGAATCACCTCTAACAGGTTTGCATAGAGGATTGTCTGATATTTTGCTCTACCCATCCTATTATCAGCGACCAGCTTCCCTCTCACTGTTTAAGAAGGACATCATCACACTTTGGAGAGTGTCTCCAGAAGCACTGTTATTTTTTTTTCCTAACCAAAAAGCATTTTTCTTGTTGGTAAAAAATATTTTTCTTCTCACAATATCACCTTTTCCAGGATTTGCTGTGACCTCCAGATGAATTAGGTGTTTTTATGACTTTCTCTATACGGTTGCATTCTTCCCACTTCTGCATAAGGATCAACTTAATGGAAAACCCAGCGCATAAGTGTCAAAATCATCACACCTGATTTGGATATTTACAACTCTTCCAAAGTTTCCTTGATCCTTTTGTAATTTTCTCTAATACTTCCCCTTTCATCCTATCATTTTAGGTGGACAACCATGTATTTTAGGGTTTACCTTTCTGTCATATTATTTGCATTATCATATGGTGGATTGAACATTGCTCCACAAAAATCTAACAGATCAGAAAACTTTTTATAACCTGATCTTAAACTTCCCCACTCTATTCCTGACCTGTTTGTTGCCGTTTGTGCTGTTTTATGGTAGAATTAAAATGTATATATGTGGATCCGTCTCCTGAAAACAATCTGTTGCACTGGAATTTATTTTTAAAACATTAAACTGGTCGAGGAAAATAAAAAGATAACAATCTACCCTTTCTACTTTCATTAAGAAGTAAATGTTTAAAGTATCCTTCCGCATGACAGTAAAACTACCTTTTAGTGATCTATTGCATAGTTTCTCAATAAATGCATTTAGGTTTGTGGCTAAAAAGTGACACACTTAAAGAAACTACATTACATAAAATGACCAAGAAAGTAAAAACAACAACACACAGGTATATGATCTACTGTATCTCTGGAAGATGATAAAGTGGTCATCTATGTCAGCCTTACTTTAACAATGCTGTGTAGCTACTGAAAACGGTCTGATTAAAGCACATTGGACCATAATTACCCTGAAAGAACAACATGCAGATAGTTCCAGGCACTAAAGTGGGGGTGCAAACACCAGGCATGAAAGACTGTTGATCATTTCTGATCTCGAAGCGATCGCTTGTCTTTTTCAGCAGCAGTGTTTGTTGCCTCCAGGGATTATCAAACCCACTGGGTTCCAAACTGGGAGATCAACCAACCGCCTTGCGCTGCAGTCTGGATGACTTCCAACACCTCCTGGGCGCTTCTGACACAAATCAGCCATCTGACCAGCTGGAAGTCAGTCAAATTAGCAACAACAAGAACATTTGTATTTTAAAAAATCCACTTGGAAAGAACAATGAGTACCAACTTGTCATTGTGTTAAGTGTATAATTTTAGAGTCTTTAAGTATTTAGAGTGCGGGTCCTTTTACAGGCCATATTCTGGGTGGTGATGCCAAATAATAAATGAAAGAATTCGTTTTCCAGCTCACTATTATTATCATTTATCTTGTTTTTCCTCATTTCCATCTGGTCCCGATCATGGCCACGCAAAGCTGAGAATCTGGGACACAACATCAAGCCTCCCACATCATCTTCTTAATTAATTAATTTTTTTATTCGTTTATTTTATTGCGAGTAAACACATCACAAAACATTAACACATTACTTCACGAATATTTCGTTCCATAACGGGTTTCCATAAGTGCGCGTCAGTGTGTCGAGTGATCGTGTGTGCGTGCCTGTGTGCGTGTGTGTGTCTTTCAGGACATAAATTAGATTGATCATCCAATAAACATTCGGTATCCGATTACAAAAATCAACAAGATTTATGACAGCGGCCAATAACAATGTGCGGAAATACACGAAGTGCATCACAGGCGCTCCAAATAAGAAAAAAAAAAAAAGTTAACATCAAGCGATCCAAAACTTCAACTTCCCCATTGATCGTGTTTTGAGCTTTTTCTCTCCAATTTAAGGCATTCTACATATTTTTTTCAACTGCACTTAAATGTGTTTTATTCTTGTCAGCTGCAGGGACAGTTTACAACAATGCGAGATAAATAAACTGTGGAAATTCACATAAAAGTTCACATTATGATTTTTTTTTTTTTACATCCTTTTTCTATTGGATATTATTCACAATTAAATACAACGAAATTGTAATAAATAATAAAACAAATAAATAAATTGTACATAAATAATAACAGAATACACATTCATTTCGGTACATAAAAGAAAAATCCGACACATGAATTGAAATGTAACATTTAGCGCCTGTATTCTTCCAGGCCTTTGTCCTGTTATTTAATTATTTTAGGTCCTAAATTGTGAGACGCGTTTGTGAGAATACATATTAAATTTCAAACAAGCACGGATTGCATTTGGCAAGATTGCATAGCTCAATTTAACTTTTTATTGCCAACACACTTTCTCTGAAATCCAAGCAAGTCAAGTTTAAGTCAAGTTCCCTGATGAATTAAACTTTTTTAATCGTCCTAAAATATCAGATTGGGACGGGTATAATCAGCTGTTTCCAAAAAACTGTTTGATCACAGATCACAATAAGAAAAGATGTAAGCTCTGCCCTGCAATTGCACAGAAAATTAAATAGATAGAAAAACAAAACAATAAAAAGTAAAATAAATGCTCAGAAACGCTTTCTTCTCTTTGAAATGTAGTTTTTTGGAAACAAATAGCACCAATTTGTGAATAAATCCATCTTAAATATCAGGATCTATAGTGTTTAAGATGATAGTTTCTGTACATAAATTGAAATCAAACTGTTGATTCTGTAATTAAAAACAAACTTTAAACCTCAAATTCTTCTTTTTTATGTGAGGTCAGTTTTTTTTTTTTTTTTACTTTTGTGCAGATAAATTTGCTTCTGATTTTAGCACTTTACTAATGAATTAATTGTGGTAAGAGCCATTAACTTCCCCCTGGGTTTGAAAGGACTGGCTGCGGACGTGCAGATCGTATGGAAAACGGGCCTCGGGTGAGACTCGATACATTGAGTTGGGTGCCAGGGCCGTGCGCCCTGGCGCGCCACAGTAGCGCACTCCGTAGTGGCCGCTTTTCCCGTAATCTGGTGGGTCGTCGTGCTTTAAAGAGAAAATCCCGTTGAAGTTCATCGGGGGGCTCAGTTGGCTGTCAAAATGCGGGCTTCCGCTGTCCGGGGATGGGTTCTCGAAGTAAGTCTCGTAGGCGCTGCTGTAGCTGTAGTGTCGAAACGGTTTGGAGCTGGGATCCAGACTTCCACCGCTGTGGCCCGGGGGTGAGTTCATGTCCGAACCAGTGTACGAGTACATAGCTTCATAAGGCGACCTCCCAGAAAACATCACCTCTCCGTTGTGATCCGTCAGGAAATTTCTCGCGTTCAATTGCAAACAGCCTGCAACCAAATTGGTTGTTGGCTGAGATAATCCTTTACACAAAGTCTGCACAAAAGCGAGGAGGTCCGGTCTCTTTCCTGCACTAAGGGTCTCTGACAGGGCCCAGATATAATTTTTGGCCAGTCTGAGCGTCTCTATCTTGGACAGCTTCTGAGTTTTCGAGTAGCATGGCACAACTTTGCGCAGACTTTCCAGCGCGGCGTTCAAGCCATGCATCCGGCTGCGCTCACGGGCGTTGGCTTCCTGGCGCCGAAGTTTGGCCCTGTCCACATGCTCCTTGCCGGGCCTCTTTTTCCGCGGTCCTCGTTTCTTCTGCAGCCCGTTCTCGTCCTGGTCGTCCCTTTCATCTTCCTCCCTGTCGGAGAGGTCGTCCTCGGCCTCCCTCATCATGTCCGAATTTGACCCGGCGGTGGGGCGCTGTTGTCGCTCCTGCTGCTGCTGCAGGCTCTCAGGGAGACTTTCGCGGGGATAGTTGGCACCAAAGCGCGGCTCACACATCATATGAGGTTCATCGAATGGCAGCGTCAACATATCTCCTACAGGATTAAAGTGGAGACATAAACTGTAAGAGGAAAATCAGCGCCGACGTCTTTTGAAGGTTGTCAGTTAATTACCCTGTGAATGAATCCTCCCAGGAGGCAGAACAACTTGGCAAGCGAGGCCAGTGTGATTGTCTGATAGCCTTTCAGAAACA